TAGTCCATTAGTTAGAGCTGATAAGCATGAAACTACTACACCTCTGCTGTATGAGGGTAAGGCACAGGCTGAGTTTCTGTACTTCACAGCCTCACCCTCTTATCCAGCTGGATAGACTAGTGGCAGCTAACATAACTTATTTGAGGGACATATATCCTTATGTTGTGATTAAAAACCCGGTAACATATTTTTTTTTTTTTTGCCAAATAGGTTTTAAGACAAGAAATGTGACCCAGTGAAACCACGGCATTCTAATAAAGGTAAATATCACATCTTGAAGCTATGCTGGAGGTAGGGAAGATACTGCCTCTATGGTTGTTTTTTGTTGGCACTGTGACTCTCTGCACGGCACACATCGATCTGACGGGTAGTACAAGTCTTTCTTTTGCTTTGACTCGCCAATTAATAGGAATTGGTCTCTCCAATGTATAGGAATTGTAAAAATGAAGCTGATGCTGTCAGTTTACCATCTTTGTCATCCACTTTGGGTTTTTGTTATATATTTTTATATATAAACATATATTTTTTCTCTCACAATAAATGGAAGCCTTCCTAATATAAAACATGTCATAACAACTTTATGGTAAAACGAATAGCCTAAAAAAAATAAAAATATAAAAGCTGTTTTACACCTAAAATCTAAAACATTGCAGCATGAGTAACTGAATATGCTGAATGTCTCAGGAAGCGGGTTTCACTTCCTCCTGTGTCTCCCCACGTGTTCCCAGTGCTGCTTTTGGGGTTGGTGGGAAAGTGTGAAATCATGAAATCATCCTCATTTTTGGCTGTGGGGGATTCACAGTTTGATGACATATCCACAATGTGCGTCATCATTGCAGCATGTTTCACTTAAAATAGCCCCACTGGTATAAAGCCTCTTTATTTCTAACAACTGCATGCTGCATGAAAAAATAGGTTTAGCCTCTAAATAACACTCTGTGTCTATAGCAAACAGGTGAGGACATTAGCATGTCTGACACACAGAACATGTCACAAAATAATGCATGTTAAATTTGAAGAGGAGGGCTGTGACTGTTCATTCTGTCTTGCAAAGAACTATGGTGCTAACTGGCAGCACTTTTCAGGATTATTATAGCAACCGCTGACGCATGGTAGTTTAAAGGGACATTATGTAAGTTTAAAGTAAAGAATAGCTTTAAAATAGCCTTTTTATTTGATCATTTATGAGTCAAATAAAGGGTTTCATGAGTAGACTGATGCATCTATTAGCCTGTAGCCTATTTCCTCTTAAGGAATTTTGGATCAGAAGTTCCTTTGCTGTTTCTGCGGATGTAATATCAAGCGTGTCCATGTTAGCATGTTATCTTATCACTGTTACCTGTCATGTCCTGCACTTTATGTCAGTTTTTAAATGTCAGTCTTGTGTATTTCTTGTATATTTGTATATTTCTAGAGAGTAAACGTAATTTCATTTCCCTTGTATGTCTTGTACATATGAAGGAAGTGACAATAAAAGCTGACTTGACTTGACTAAATGGGTCCAATCTAGCAAACAATCAAATTGTTATATTCAAGATGGATTTTTTTGATACTCAGAAATCCAGCTCCACTCAGACACCAATGGAAACTCCACATACGGTGAAAAAAGTAATAAGAAAAGCAAAAAACTTGTTAAAGGGGAACACCTATCTTCAGAACAGCTCCAAATGACACAGAACTAATCTGGGTGAGTAGAACATGGAGTAAAAACAAAAATCAATGGGACAATGTAAAAAAAAAACGGTCTTCCCCTTTAAGTACCAGGTCCTGACCCCTGTTATGGCCCCCGTACTAATCGCACACTGCAAAAAAAATTTATACAAGAAGGTCTAAGTCGTGTTTTCTTAAGTAAATGAATTTCTCTTTATTTAAGGAGGAATAAGATGATTATTTACACAATAAGAAAAAAAACATCATATTTCAAATGCATATTGCATAACATCTGATAAGAGAGGAAATATACATTCCACTGGCTGATTGGCTTATTTAGCTGCTTAAATCAAGGGAAAAAATAATTGTTTAGATCAGTGTTTGTAGTGCAACAATGAATGAATTTCTTATGATAACATGAATCGACAGAGGAGACTGTTACTGACTAGTCCATTGGACCAATTTAATATTTTGCCTTGACAGTATATTTTAATAATTAGGAATTGCAGTAAGCTTCAAACTTCAGTCATACAAAGAAAGGATAACTGTTTTTGTCTTTTGGATCAGAAGTGTGCAGCCTTTGCTTTGAGGCTAAATTAATGTACCAAACAATGTTCTGGGCCCCCCATTAAAAAATAAATAAAAAATCAGGCCCCATCTTGGCCCTCCTAATATATGTTGTATAGAACCGCAACTGGAAGTACCACTTGAAAGGACATATTAAAATTAAAAAAGAAGCTTTTTTTTTTCTTTTTTTTAGTTTTCATTCAACAATAAATAAAATCAATTCCAGTTTTAGTTTAAGAAAATATAGGTTGATGGCACCATCTACAGGATCAGGCTGAGCTCTGCAGGAGATAGAGAAAGCCTGGATGATTTGATTCAATTAGACTAATTTAACACTGTCAAAAAAATTAAAGACAGTGGAAATACAGGTATCCTACTCCATGCAGGCAATGTTCAAACAGGTTACCTCTGTTCATCCTGTGGTTCGGCATGATAAAGATGATGATTTTAAAGGAGAAGCATCAATATAACTAAACATAACTAAACAATGCAGAAGTTTATTTATATCACATGGTGTAGGAGCCTATTATTTTATCTTAATGATTAAAAATGTTTTGTTGTTTTTGTGCATAATCTAGCTAAGTTGATTTTACTTTATTGTTTAATATCTGTTATGAGATTATGTTTTTTGGTTATTTAGTCATGTTCCTTTATTTTTGGTTAGTTATGATTAATTTAGGTTAATTATTTTTTATAAATAGGCAGTCAATTGTAGGCCAGCATGCATCTGGGTGGGCGTATGGTTTTTTACCAGCGCAAGAGAGACATGGAGGAAATGTTTGTCTTTTTTTGTTTGCTTGCCTGAGTAAAAAAAAAAAACTGACAAAACTAAGGGAATTTACCTGGAACATTTTTTTCTTTTTGCCTGCGTAAAAATAAGTCCATGGTGCATCTGTGGCCTTTGTGGATTTCCACCTTTTTGTGTCATCTGTCAGCAAATGGTGTTTGTTGAGGAAGACCCAAATGCAGGGACGAGTTGGCAGAGGTGAATTTAAGTGGTTTAATAAGGTTCTCAGGCACTGAGGCAGGAATCAAAAATCCAACAAGTAACTAACGAACCAGAACCAGAACCAAGGTGACATCAGGGGAAAAACAAAATCTAGGAACCAGGGAGAGACGAGGAAGGCAGACAGACGATGACGAGAGGTTAGACGAGGATCCAGCAAACAGGAACTGAAGAGGAAGGGCTTTTAAAGGGGACAGAGACAGGAAGAGGGCTAATGAGGGAATTGAAAACAGGTGAGGGCTGAACAGAAAACATAGCAAAAGAAAGAGGACACAAGAGGGTAGCAGAGGACAACAAATGGAGAACCAGAAAGACAGGAACTAATAAGAAAACAAAAACCAAATAATAATCAAATAACTAGGATAAAGAAACATGGTGAAAAGAAAACTAAACACTAGAAATCAAGGAGCAAAAGAAAAACATAACAGAAACAGAAACCTAACATCATCAAAGCTGGGACACAACGCATGGCTCCATGATCCTTCCTCACTTTGCTTAATCACTCACATTTCAATTCAAAATGACACACACAAGTATTTTCTTTTTCACTACACTAACCTAATCCTTATCTAACCTGTAATTTAATTCAGTTTATTTCTATAGCACCAATTCACAACACATGTCATCTCAAGGCACTTTACAGTTTACCAGATCATACAGTCAAATTGATTCAAAGTTTTCTATCTAAGGAAAACCAGTTGATTGCATCGACTCATTGACTCGAAGGCAATCCCTCACACTAAGCATGCTTGTAGCGACAGTGGAGAGGAAAAACTCCATTTCAACAGTGTTTTCAGAAAATTTAGATTTCTCTTCTATTATGTATTTATTTATCCTATTTACTCACTATAAAAGTTTTTACTCAGTCTGTTTCACCTTGAAGGTCATGGTGTTTGTAGACCAGACACAGGTTCTTCCCATAACAAATCAGATTCTTTCTCAAGGTTTATTCATAACATGTTACTGTTAACCAAAGTGTCTCTAATTTGTTTTGACTTTGACTGCTTTCCATTGTTGCATGTAAGGGGGAACCAACACTGCTCAGGAACAGGGCAGAATGCTGCCATAAGGGCTGTATGATGAACTGTTCTCTCTTTGCAAAGATATGAATAAATGTGCCGACTGAGTGAAATCCATCGATCTCCTTTTATTTAATTAGGGTGAAAAGGTGAATACTTTTTTTCCCACGACAAACAGGAAGAAACCTCCAGCAGAAGCAGACTCAGTGTGAGCGGCCATCTGCTGAGGCCGACTGGGGTTAAAGGACACAGAAGCAGATACAAAAAGCAGCTGAAAACGTGGCCCCATCCAGGAAACACACAATATAATCTAAAGCCTTAATATTTAGATGTGCTTCCTGACCAGGCTCAGTATTTGTTAATGCATTTCTGGTACTTTCTCATGACAGGTGATTTACTCTAAAGGCACAGTCAGCAATAATAGATTTGAAAGCAGTCAGAGTTAATAATCTAAAATATTAGTCAGGCATCATGAAAATGTAAAGATTTAACATTTATCTAATTGTTGAATAGTTGATATTTAGAACATAGAAAAAAAAGATGTGCTTCCTGAAAAAAAATATCTTGTTCATCAACAGACTGCATGTGGTGTGTGTGTAAATATATAATTAACTAAAACTAAATATATAAGTTCTTTCCCTGTGTCTGATTTAACTGTAAATGCCTATCGCGATTTAAACCTCAGATTATTCGGATTTCCCGCAAAACTTGACACCAAGTGTGACGTAACGGGGCCTCGCTCGCAGCTGTCACGTGACCGGGGTGCGCTCGAAAACACTTCTCAGCGACACTTCCGCCCAACAAAAGGTCGAAGCTGAGTCGATCAGACCGAGTGGAGCTTAAGATCACTGGCAGGCATGGAGTTCTCCATCAGAGCCGCTAACGTGGAGGACTGCAGGGACATCGCGCGGATGATCAGGGTGAGCAGACATGTGCGCACGTGCGGAGCAGACTGCGCGTCTCTCCGGCTTATAATAAGAGGTGTCTCCTTTAAATTTACAGGTGCTGGTCATAAAATTAGAATATCATGAAAAAGTAGATTGATTTCAGTAATTCCATTTAAAAAGTGAAACTTGTATATTATATTCATACATTACATACAAACTCATATATTTCAGATGTTTATTTTGTTTAATTTTGATGATTACAAATGACAACAAATGAAAATCTCAAATTCATCATATCAGAAAATTAGAATATTACTGAAGACCAATAAAAACAAAGGATTTATAGAAATGTTGGCCAACTGAAAAGTATGAACATGAAAAGTATGAGCATGTACAGCACTCAGTATTTAGTTGGGCCTCCTTTGGCCTGTATTACTGCAGCAATGCGGCGTGGCATGGAGTCGATCAGTCTGTGGCACTGCTCAGGTGTTATGATAGCCCAGGTTGCTCTAATAGTGGCTTTTAGCTCTTCTGAATTGTTGGGTCTGGTGTATTGCATCTTCTTCTTCACAATACCCCATAGATTTTCTATGGGGTTAAGGTCAGGAGAGTTTGCTGGCCAATTAAGAACAGGGATACCATGGTCCTTCAACCAGGTACTGGTAGCTTTGGCACTGTGTGCAGGTGCCAAGTCCTGTTGGAAAATGAAATCTGCATCTCCAAAAAGTTGGTCAGCTGCAGGAAGCATGAAGTGCTCTAAAACTTCCTGGTATGTGGCTGCGTTGACCCTGGACCTCAGAAAACACAATGGACCAACACCAGCAGATGACATGGCACCCCAAACCATCACTGACTGTGGAAACTTTACACTGGACTTCAAGCAACGTGGATGAAGTGCCTCTCTTCTTTTCCTCCAGACTCTGGGACCTTGATTTCCAAAGGAAATGCAAAATTTACTTTCATCAGAGAACATGACTTTGGACCACTCACCAGCAGTCCAGTCCTGTTTCTCTTTAGCCCAGGCAAGACGCTTCTGACGCTGTCTGTGGTTCAAGAGTGGCTTGACACAAGGAATGCGACAGCAGAAACCCATGTCTTTCATACGTCTGTGTGTGGTGGTTCTTGAAGCACTCACTCCAGCTGCAGTCCACTCTTTGTGAATCTCCCCCACATTTTTGAAGGGGTTTTGTTTCACAATCCTCTCCAGGGTGCGGTTATCTCTCTTGCTTGTACACTTTTTTCGACCACATCTTTTCCTTCCCTTCGCCTCTCTATTAATGTGCTTGGACACTGAGCTCTGTGAACAGCCAGCCTCTTTAGCGATGACCTTTTGTGTCTTGCCCTCCTTGTGCAAGGTGTCGATGGTCGTCTTTTGGACAACTGTCAAGTCAGCAGTCTTCCCCATGATTGTGTAGCCTATAGAACTAGACTGAAAGACCATTTAAAGGCTTTTGCAGGTGGTTTGAGTTAATTAGCTGATTAGAGTGTGGCACCAGGGGCCATCAATTTTGAACCTTTTCACAATATTCAAATTTTCTGATATGATGAATTTGAGATTTTCATTTGTTGTCATTTGTAATCATCAAAATTAAACAAAATAAACATCTGAAATATATGAGTTTGTATGTAATGTATGAATATAATATACAAGTTTCACTTTTTAAATGGAATTACTGAAATCAATCTACTTTTTCATGATATTCTAATTTTATGACCAGCACCTGTATATTGTTTTGCTTTCACTGGGGTTCTGAATGTGTCCACAGTCAGTTAGAATTATAATTTTAATTTCAGTAGAGTTTTATGTAAGCTTAATGATTTGGATGCGACCTTTGAAGCCAATTATGACGTCAGCTGACTTATTTATTTTTTTTTTTTTTTCCAGGAATTGGCAGAATATGAGAAGGTGGCTGATCACGTCAAAGTCACACAGAGAGGTACAAAATTATTTATTTCACTCCTACTGATCTTTAACAGAATTTCTGTAAAACTCAGTCCTGTAATAAACCATGTGGTCCCTGGTTTTGGGGGTTGTTTCATGATTTGCATAACATTAGCATGATTTGTTTATTCTGAAAAGTTTTAAAAGGACTCTTTGAAATATAAAGACTGTCAAAAATAATTAATTTAATATCTTTTAAACATGGGTGGTTCTAGACAGGTGCCAACAGGGGTCAGTGCCCCCTGTAGAACTGGTCTTGGGCCCTATTATGGACCCCTGCAATCAACTCATAAAAGTAAAAAAAATTCTAATGAAATAGACATAGTACATCTCCTAAATGTTTTTTTGAATCAGATTTTTTAAAATATTCTTATTTATTTCAGCCATTTATCAGTTTTACTAAAATTGATAATTTTGCTTTAAAATAAGTCAAAATTATGTAATATTCTCGTATTATGAATTTTCATTCATGTTTTTTTATGTTTTAGTAGGTATGAATTTAGCAGCTAATTATTTTCATTACTTTTTAATGTGGGGAAAAAGGTATTCAATTATACAGTCCAGTTAAATAAAAGGAGATCAATGGACTTAACTTAGTCTGCACCTTATTTAATTTGTAAATTTTTAGGATTATTAGTAATATTGATGTGTGAGTCCATTACAGCCTTAAATCACTTGCCCGTTGTGTCAGCGAGAACACAAAGATCATTTATTTTACTGCATATTTTGCCTCATACGGTGCCCCTGCTTGCAGCTCTGAGGCCTGAATGAATGAAACTCTACATTCATATATCAATATAAATGAAATGTATATAAAAATGAATTAATAGAAGATGAATTTCTTCCCACCACATTTTATTAATTATTAATAAAATTAATATTCCAAAAAGTTAAATAACAATTTACTGGACCAAGTTTGAAGACGTTTTGCTTTCCATCTAGGAAGCTTTTTCAATTCAAAATGTCAGAAATAGCATTATGTGGGAGGCTTTATAGAGTTGACCAAAAACAAAGCCTTGGTTGGCTAAGAAAACATGCAAATTGAACCGGATGAATGGGTCTGCCCCTTAGAAATGAGGAGTCATTTGGTCTTTTTGTTTGCCTTCAATACCCGATACTTGTCTTTGTCTCTGAAAGGGGGTCTGTAGGAAAAATTGCTCCCAAACAACCCCCTTACAGAGGTATATACCAGTATCGGGTATTGCAGGCTAACAAAGAACCCAAACGACTCCCCATTCCTAAGGGGCTGACCCGTTCTTCTGCTTCCATTTGCATGTTATTGGTTTAGCTTCTCTATAAAGTTTTGAACTCAATGCTAATTCTGACATTTTGAATTGAAAAATCTTCCTAGATGGAAAGCGAAACGTCTTCAAACTTGGAAACAAAGTCCAGTGAATTGTTTTTTTTTACTTTTTTGGAATATCAATTTTACTAATACTTAATAAAACGTGGTGGTAAAAAAAAAAATCCATCTTCTGTTAATTCCTTTTTACATATATTTTATTAATTGACTTAATTTGATTGTCAAAGAGATTATCAGTACATTCCTTACAAAAGTATTCAAATCTCGTCAACTTTTCCAACGTTTGTCAGGTTATCGCCTTTCGTTTCAAGGTGTTTCATTGGTATTTAATGTGATTGATACACATAAAACAAAAATTGACAAAAGTCATACATTTTCCATGGATTAAGGTCTCAGCTTTGACTGGATTATTCAAACATATATGTTTTTGATGTAAACCTTTCTGTTGTAGCTTTTTTAGCTTCATTTCCCTGCTTTTGCAGCAGCTTTTCTTCTAGAAATATTTAGCTCTTTCATTTTGAATTAAGGCCAAAAAGTAACATTTGTGTCTCATCATACCAGAATGTCTTGTGTCTTCTTTTGAATTTTTTATTTTTTTTTTTGTATTCTTAACAAGAACATTCAGACCTAAATCTCACAGAGAGGAGAAATTAACACCCTTTATTTTTGTGGAAGCACATTAACAGATTTCTCACTTTTTTATCATTTCCCAGACTTGGAGCAGGACGGCTTTTCCAAGAACCCGTTCTTTCACGGGATTGTTGCTGAGGTGCCAGAACAGCACAGAACCAAAGAAGGTGAGAACGATCAGACGCCGATCTCAGACCGCTTCTTTTTACAACAGTGAAACCAAACCAGCCAGGTTTAGTGCAGCTTAAGCGTCTGGTTATTAGTAGCTAAATTCACTACAGTGTTTTCTGTTGCCTAATGTAGCAGGATGCTGCAGGATGTGTCCTCTCCATTTATTCAGCTCTTAGATAATAATGTTAATGCAGCATTTCCTGAATGTGCAATAAGGAGCTCATTAGTGTATGCTCTGCTACTCAGCTCGACCTTTTTGCTTACAGTCATCACTGATCACCGTCTGCTGGACTCAGATATCTGACTCTACACTCAGGAGGGGCTCCATGCAAAAGCAACACTCTAATGTTGTAATCACAACAGATTCCACTTCATTTTTAAGATTACGTTATTATATGCAAAACATGCTAAAACGGAAAAGTCTGGAAAAACTAAGCACACCCCCTGAACAAACCAGATTTGAATTGAAAATGTTATTGTGTTCTGTGGATGAATTTTGAATTTTGCACCAAACAAACCCTTTTTTTCCAGCTTTTAATTTAATTACACTGTCACAAGAACAGAGCAAAGAAATGAACTCTCTGCATTTACCTCATCCCCTTGGGGAGCAGGGGGCTGCCGTTGTGGGGCACCCAGGGAGCAGTGTGGGGTTAAGGGTCTTGCTCAGGGACCCTGGGTGGCAGTCCGTCAGAGTGGGGCTTCAACTGAGAACCTCTGGAACCCAGTGGGTTTCTATTAAAGGTACAATAGAGGATGTTCTTTTTCTGGGTGGATCATCTAAATAAGTGGTCCTCCTAATTGTCATTCATTCTGGTGATAAGTTTACGTAAGGCCTTCCTACGTGCTCGTCCCCATTTTTTCTTAGCGGTGGTAAAACTGACAGTGGAAAAATTGCAACTTGCAAAGAGCAACTTTTAAACAGAGAGTTCACCAGGAGAAAATGGCTTGGGCACGCTCTTGCATGCATTTAATAGGCATTCCCTCTAGGGAGTGGGTACAAGGTTGTGCATGTGGATTTTTTTTTAAAGTGGAGAGGGCGGGTCTTTAAAAAGATTTATGAAAATCCTTCATTATACATTTAACTGCAGTTTTTCCAATATTCCTACACACGCAAAAAAATGATTCAAGCTCCTCTTTGAGGTGACTATTTAACATACCTAAATAATTGGTTCCAGAATTATTTAGCAATATTTAATTGATGTAACACAATATGTATGAGCATTTTATTTATGAGCAATGTAAGCCGGTCTTTCTGCTGTTAAAGTAAATACAATTAAGTTGATAAAACCAAATAATTTGTCATCGGGTTATTTAAATGTTATGAGTTAGTTGAACATAACTTAAGTCAATGCAGGGACAACTATAGGTCAATAGAATTTGATTTTATTAAGTTGAACCAACCAAACATATTCAAATTTGTTTTTTCCTTTTAAAGGTTTTAAAAAAAATGTGTTGAACAGACACTAGAAAATCACCATATAGATAAACGTGGATTTGGTTCAGCTAGCAAAAAATTATTGGATTCAATTAAATTGAGTTAATCCAATGCGTCATCTTTATGAGTGCATTCCCATATCTCCTTAATTCGTAAATATGGATTTATAAAACCATTGATCAATTAAAAAAAGGCTTTTCCACTGTCCTAACAGCCTGCATTAACTATTGTTGCTTTTTTATTTTCAAGATAATTTAACACTAACATCAATATCTCTTAATTAATACTGGGGCTGCAACTAACAATTATTTCTAATCAATTAATCCGTCAATAATTTTTTCAATTAATAATCGGCTCCTTAAAGATATTTTTTACAGAATTAAACAAGGTGAAACTAAAACATTTCCACTTGTAGAGTTTTATATAGAACATAATGACAAAAGAAAATTGGTTTTTATCTTAAATGCGAAATACTTAAATATTTTTTCTTACAATTTTGTTGCTCTGTCAGCTAAAGGCACGTTTCACAGTCTCTATACAGTTAACGATGAATCTATTACTAAATTAGTTATTTAAATAATGGATTAATCACGATTAATCCGATTGATTGTTTCAGCCCTAATAAATATACATTTATGTAATTCAGAAAACAGCTACAAAAATATTTTTAAATACCTGCAATTTACTTTGAGATCTGATTGGATCAAAACAAATCTGTTCTAAATGTTAAAATTGGAATCAATACCCTACACTGATAAAAAGCTTTCTGACGGATACTTTTGAACCACGTGCTTGTTGTTATCCTTTGTATTTTAATGTCGACAAACTGAGGCCTCGCCTTTTAATTTAAATGTTAGAAAAACTTATTTCAGATGCAGAATACAAGTGACAGAATATGTCACCAAAACAAATGAAGAATGTGTGCATATTGTAGGTATTTAATTTATTTTACAATCCTAAAGCAAGTTTAGGAGACTGGATGGAATTAAAATTGAAAATGAGTTTTACAAAGAACAGAATAAACGTATCTAACTGGTATTGTTTTTATTTTCAGGCCATACGAAGATCGGCTATGCACTTTATTTCTATTCCTACAGCTCCTGGACAGGCAGAGCCATTTACATGGAGGACTTGTATGTGATGCCAGAATTTCGAGGTAAAATAATTGTCATTGCAAATTGTCTTGCTTTTTTATTTAACTGTATGCATGTAAAATATTAACTATTCTGTCTGTTGTAGGGAAAGGCATTGGTAAAGCACTTATGAGCAAGGTAGCACAGGTGAGTGACATGGAATCAGGAGTAAAAGTAAAAGAAAAGTGATGTTGATCATTTGTTATTTTATTTCTTTTTTTCTCTGTGTTTCCTACAGCTGGGTTTGGCTGCTGGATGCAACCAGCTCAACTTTACAGTTTTAGACTGGAACAAGTCGTCTCTGGACTTTTACCTCAGCCAGGGCTGCTTTGATGTCACAGAGAAAATGGGATACCACTGCATTCGCTGTGAGGGGGAGGCGCTGGAGCACCTGGCTCAGCCTTAACCCAGATCCAGGGACTTTTAAACCTTACAGTCAGTCCAAGCAATGCAGAACAGCCTTTGTGGCGCTTTGTTCAAAACCTAACGACCGTTACCGGAAAATAAATGGCTTTATGCCAGACCTTTAGCACCTTTAGTTAATAATTATTAATCCCCTGGTCCTAAAAGCCGGTTTACAGCAAGAGATGCTAGACTTCAAATGGAAATATTATATCCACAATTAATAAATTCCTCAAACAATATTTTAAAACTTAAAAATTAAATAAATGTTTATTGTGCTTCATTTTTACATCCTATTGGTCGAAGCATAATCTCTCAATCTCACATTTAATCTTTCACCCACATTTTAAATGTATGTAACTTTATTACATAACAAATTCCTCTTTACTATTTTTTTTTACACAAGCATATTAAATAAATCTTGCATTAATTTAATAAAGCTTATTAATTTAAAATACATAATTGTCAGGTTTATGTATTTAGTATTAATAAAGTACTCTTGCTCAAAATTAATATTCATTTGTTTATTTAATTAAAAAACATAAAAGTTGTTATTTGATTTGCTTAATCGTCAGGTTAACCTTAGCCAAATCAAACAATAAACTTTATTTATTTGATATAAATTAGTATTCGTATTATTTTTATGTAAGTATACTTTAGTAATACGAAATACATAATCCTGGTGGTTATGTATTTTAAATAAATATCTAAGAAAAAAAGGAAGTTCTTATGAAATAATGTTACATAAATCTAAACATTTGGGTAAAATATTTTTGTGAGTGCATTATTGGAGTTTTAGAGGAACAAAAATCAAGGTTTTAGAGAAAAATAATTTCACTCCCTTTGCTCACCTTAGATGACATCACACTTAACTAATTTTCAGCAGGTGTAACCATACAGGTGTACTCTTGAAATCCAACCGATGGGTAGAAATACCTCAGCAATGACCTAAAAGAGGTAACTGATGCTGCCCATTAATCTGTGTCAACCAGGTCCTTTCCAAATAATAATTTTGCATTACTTTAGTCCAAGAGAAAACACTATTTATTAACTTGAGCAATCTTTTTTGGAGTTGCTTTTTCTAGTAAAATTATTAGACAATGCAATGCTTTGTAAAATGACCAAATAACCTCTATGAGCATCCATTCAGAATCCACAGGCCTCAGTCAGAATGCGTTACGTATTATGACGCTGTCACACCGTGCTGATTTACCCAGCGTATACCTAACGTCCCAGAATCTTCTAAAATGCTGGCATACGCTGAACTTTCTATGTATTTTTTCAATTTTGGGCGTATCCATAGAGTATTCCCCTACCTGACTAGCTAACAGATTTAATGTTAGTTTGTTAGTTAAGCTAAATTCTAGCTCCCAATAAAATAATTGCATTGTGTATCAAAATAGAAGCACTGACATTTTGCAAAAGGGCCACTACATTTTTTTCTCAAACGAAATATAACCTCGAAAAAGAGGACTAAGGATGATAGAAATGGAGAAGTTCTGTTCTACAATGGATTACGCTGCATTTTTTATGCTCAAGTCATCATGCTCAACATTTTTTGACGTAGTTGCTGTATGTTGACGTGTGCCAGCGTGCTCATAACTTACACAAGACGTATCCATAACGTATCCAACGTACCCCTGCGTTTTTGCCAGATTTTTTGTGCGTCAGCATATCGTCATGTTGACAGACGGCTTTTTCTATCCGCTTCAGCAAAAACATTAAAAGATTTAATGCTGCCTTAATAGTTTAGCCAACATGCTAGCTCCCAATAAAATTATTGCATTGTTTTTCAAAATAAAAGCACTGACATTTTGCAAAGGGCCACTATATGTTTTTGTCTAATGAGCTATAACCTCAAAAAAAGGACTAAGGATGATAGAGATGGAAAAGTTCTATGTTTTAGTAGTCATTATGATGAGCTTTTACTCACATTTCAACAGCCGAATGCCAGAAATGTTGCTCTTTGCTGTCGGGATGGACTTGTTATTGATGTGACCTCAGAGCTGGAAAAACCACCTGAAGGAAAAAGAAAACGCATTGTGATAATCTAGCCGCTTCCAAAACCAGTTTTGCTGCCTTCATGTGGTATCGTAATTATGGTGAATACCAAAATCCGACATCAAAAAAAGCACATGAACGGGCGTGCTTTGGTGGCGCAGTGGTTAGCACGCACGACCCATGTAAGGAGGCCTTAGTTCTCGACGCGGGCGACCCAGGTTTGAATCCAGCCTGCCATGTCTCACCCCATTTCCTGTCAGCCTGCTGTCGATAAAAACGAGCCACTAGGGCTGTAAAAACTCAACAAAAAAATTGCACACTCATGTAATTTCTGCTAGAAAAATTTTATGATAGAGTTGCCGAGATGAGGTCATGTTTGACCTTTCAACAGAGCAGCTAAACGATTCTGTATGCGCTCTCCCCTGATGTGTTTGAAGCCTAAACAATGCTGTGAAATATACATTTTTTATTTATTTATACGCATTTAAACTTTTTGAAGGGACCATCGTTGTTTCATTCTATCAGATGTATTCTCTTCTTTCTGTAGCAGATGAACTAGGAAGTCTGTTACTGTCTAGCCCAAGTATCAGGTCAGGATAATCTTTGGATCCAACACTTTTCTCTTCTCTATGACAGCAAAAGCACTTAACCCAATGCGGTGGTAATTTCCACTTTACAAGGGGAAAGGACCATCTTTACCAGACCCCATGAAGGCAGCATTTATCTTTGCAAAAATATTAGATACTGGCTGTGCCCTCAAATGTGCTAAATTGACACAGATGGAGGCCAGGTGGGTGTTTTTGTTTGATTTGATTAGTTAAACCAAAAAACACAAAAAATCAGAGAGAATTTGCAAATTTTTACTTTATTATATATATAATATATACTACATTAAAAGCACATCTTCTCATACATATTGATTTATCTGTTTTTTGTTTTCCGACCATTAACCTTTTTTTTTTTACTGAGTTATGGTAAAATGCTAATGCTAATCTTTTGTGACTTATTCAACACAAAGTAATGGATCACCTTGAGACTTCCATTCATTCAACGTGACATTAATGTGCTAAATTCGTGCTACTGTAATCGCCCAGGCAACAAAACAGAAGAATTAGCTGTTGTAGCGGGTTAAAGCTAGCATTGGTGAACCTTCCTTATTCAGCTACTCTTACATTACTTATCCATGCAGATCAGAGCTGCACACTGTATAGGATCCCAGTCACAGTTGATATTGCAAAAAGATATTTAGGGACATGATTTCAAAGGATGTAATATTTCTAGTGTCTGAAATTCACACGCTACTTATCCGTACCGTATTTAGCTAGCTTAATGGATTCTAACTGGCATTAAAGCTACAGTGTGTAATAATTACAGGGATATACAGTCAGAAATGTAATACATTATACATAGCTTTGTTATTTATCATTATCTACGAGCTCAGCCTCTTAACCTTAATATTTGCGTTGCCTTAGAATTTGTTATTTATAATTACATAGGAGCGGGTCTCGCAGCCATGGAGGCAGACATCTTTGCGCTACGGCAGTGCAGAGCCAACAAACTAGCGATTGCGAGATTGCCCATTATGCTCGAAAGTAACTACGGCAAGTTGCGAGAGATGAACTGAGACGGTACTGAACACACAGACTAATGAAATACTATCTGTAAAATTATCTATGTAAACAAACCTCATCACTTGAGAAGGTAGGTGATGCGGACGTCGTTGAAGACATTTTGTCCCGTAACGCTCGCCGTACTGTTGGGGGGGAGAAGCGGTGGGGGGGAGATGTTCATGTTGCTGCGGTCTGCAGTCTGGACGTTAGATGTCGCTGAAAATTACACACTGTAGCTTTAATACTCACAACAGATTTTAATGGCTGAGATGTTTATGCCCACAGAGTGGTGGAGACTTTGCATAATAGTACTGAAATACAAAATATGAAATTATTCATACGTTATTAATAACTTTTCGCACTTTTCAGGAACACTAACACAATGACACGTGCACCTATTACCCATTTGAGACCATGCCAAGAACAGTCTGAGTCTCAGTTGTGGCTCATTTCTCTTACCACATTTACACTACCCTTGAAAAAAATGTGCCAAGACCGGTCCGAGCTCAGTAACTGAGATAACTAATCGTGTGTAAATGGAAAGCAAACTGAACTGAACCGAGCTAGACACAACCGGACCGCGCTAACTGCAGACCAGTTCCAGAGGTGGGCTCGGCTCAGTTTTTCCCTGGCTCGGTTCTCTGATAACAAGAGCGCATGAGAAGAACGCGTCATCTCCGTCTGGTTGCACATCCCGATTCACACTCCATTCCAGTAGTTGGCGGTAATGCCCCTCCGGAAGTTGCTTGCCAACCAACACAAAACAGAAGAAGAAGAACAATAATAAACAACAATCAAGTAAATCCACGAAAGGTTGCCGTCTTCGCCTGACCCTCCGCAAACACCAAAGTACAGCAAGCATAACTTTCTGAAGGTGACGGGCGCGGCCATTTTGATTTGCTTGATTCCCTCCTTCGTCATCTTCTTTTTGTGTTTTATGGCGGTTGGCAAACAACTTTTAGTGCATTACCGCCACCGAATGCTTGATTTCGTCCTTCAATACTGGCAGTAATACCACAGATCGTCACTAGGAGGCGAGGAGTCGAGGAACCGAGATGGCGTGATGTGCAAACGGTCGTCAGAACCAAGCTCGGCCTGGTTAACTTGTCCGAGCTCGGACCGGTCTGGGCATGGATCAGTTTTTCAAGAGTAGTGTAAATGGGGTATCTGATTACAAAGAGCGCATAAGCAGGCTACGTTACCTCCTTACAGTCAGTAGTTGGCAGTAGCTACATTCAACAAAAAAGCGCCTGCTGTTTCATTTTTGATGCTGTACACATACGGTCAGACGCGCGTCTTGAGTATCTTTGATGCTCCTGAAGTGCATCTAGTAAAGTGTGTACCGATACGTCTGATGCTTCTGCTGCTCCTGTGTTCAATGCCAGAGAGCGGCTTTGCTATTTGCTACTAAAAGTAGTTTTGATATGTTTTTAAGTGAGAAGTCCACCTGAAAACATCATCTTTGCCTGCCTATAAATATTATTTCGATGTCCGACCAGCACAAAACCCCCATACACCGGCGGTGCTCTTTCACTGGAAAACCCCCTCAACAGCAGCCTCTGGCCCTGTCGCATCTTGGGGGTTTTCTGCTATGGTTTGTGGCGGCTGGAAGGCGTTTTTCATGTGCGTAATCCAAACTGCAGGCACCAGAATAATAAAAAGTAACATATTTTGCCGG